GTGATGTCAGTTTAGGCTCAGCTAGCTATGCCTGGCTAGCTTGACAGGCAGACTTCAGTTTGGCACCCAAGTCAAAGTAACAGACAAGAAGACAATGCATACCCATAGCAATTTTAATAACATGATGCACTGATCCTGCTTGGTACTCAGATGGTTTAGTGATGCTCATTCCATCACCCTGAGTTTTTAATAAGTAAAATGACTCTTTTATTGACTTATGTGGTCTAACTGGGGAGTTTCAGTTCCCAATGAAACCTGGCCTGTAGAAAATCTTTTAGGGGTTTAGGGATTCTAAAATCAATCAACCTTTTGTCTGTTTCACAGGCCATGGGTGAACACTGAATACACCTGTAACTCTCCTGTATCTTCTTTTAACTTTGAATTTGATAACTATGAAGCTTGTGAATGGTTACCCAGATTTTGAATAACGAAAGCCAACTTGAAAACAACAAAGTGATAGAAAGAACAAATGTGAAAACCCCGGCCAAATGCAAAGAGTGAAGAGGAAGACGTCATACAACTGGTTTCAAATCGAGTGTTCGCATCACATTCCAGAGCCTACGGCACTCGAGACATGTGACAGCACGTCTTGCTTCGGGTGTTGTTCGCTCTTGTTTGCACTCTTATTTTTCATAAAAATATTTGTGGTTTAGACTTCAATATTGATGTGAAATCACACAAAAAGCAACTGTACATAGGTATGATTTATGATGTCTAACTGGGTAAGCTGTGTTTGTTATTACTAAAAATATAATGTTAGTTATGACTGAATGAATCAATAATGAAGGAATGCTAGTTATTCTCCTTTTGTCATTTATTGGTAAAAAAAGTAAGAGTTGGGATGACATTTTTTGGGGATTGGGACAGATCATATTTTTTCCCCATAAGAAATAATGGAAAAGTTTATTCTTACAAATTTTCGCTGAACACCTGCTCTTAATTGTCTTGGCAGTGCCAGCAGGAGGGATCAGTGTGAAGGCACAACTGCTTGTGTGAGAGCCTCAGAGCGCTCAGCAGAACTGTGCCAGAGGCCCACTGCCGCCAGGAGGAGCAGAGCAGGCCCTGCACCCAGGTGCGGCATGTCTCCATTTGCTGTGAGAGAGCAGTGCCATGCTGGACACAGCCGTGATCATCCTCTCTGTCCGCTACTCACTTCGTGAGCACAGCAAATCCTGAGCTTGCAAGCATAGTCCGACTTGGATCACTTGGAACACTCCTATTAGGTCATCAAAGATACTGAACTCAAGCTCCCTCTCAGTTCCTTGGCTAACTGCAACTCTTCACCATGGCCTCTGATTACAAATGCATCATGCAACCACTTCATTCTCCTGTGATAATTTTGTGCTTTACACACAAATTTCTTTAAACTGTAGAAGATCAAAGCAATGTCAGCAACACAACTATTCACTGATCTCCACCTGCCTGTGCTTGATGTTTTATCATGCTTTCATCATACTCTTTTGCTCTCTTCAGGCATCGGGACAAGAAGTTCTGTTCCATTTCATGCCAGAAAGTAATTGCCTGCACAGTCTTATTTTGATCCTCTGCCATCAGGCACATTTAGAGCTCACTGCTGTCAATGCTTTAAGAAGTCTCTGCGTGCACTTCCAGTTTGAAATGCTTGGGACTGATCTCTGACTTCTTCTCGCCTGCACGCTCCCTGTTACCCATGCTGTACCATGTATCTCCCATGCTGTCACATGCTCAACTGTGAAGCGCTGCACTATATCTGCACTTCCCTGCATCTTCCCCATAGGGCAGAGCTGTCCTCTGCTTCCCTGTGAAATGACACAAAGCCTACACAGTTACATCTGACAAAGATCCCTAACCAAATATACTGACATTGACACAGGAATAAACATTCAGTTACTGTGAACAAAAGAATTCTTGCTTAATTTTTAAAAATGACTCTGAAATCTTTGTACAGTAGGTATTATTCCTGTGTGCAGCATCCTTCATTTTAAAGAACCTTTTTCCTCAATTGTTATGTACTTTTACAGTGAAAAATCTGTACTGGAATTCTGCAGTTTTCCTAGGATTTAACTATGCTTTTCCTCTTCTTTGCCATGCTTCCAGTCAGCTTGTTTTAAACATATTCAGATCTCACTATGCTTTTCCATGAAAATACCAGATTTATGACCTTTTATTGTGCTCTCATCAGGGTAGATCTCAGAAGAAGTCATGTAAAGGAGAACAATGCCAAAAATATCCTGAGGAATCCTGAGACATCCTTAGGAATCATATGACGTCCTGAGGAATCCTTGGGCATCCTGAGGAATCATGAAACATCCTTAGGGATCCTGAGACGTTTCGGAAAGATCACCAGTGACACCGCTGAACCAGAAAGGCAGAGACGGGATGGGGCTCCGCCTCAGTCTGAGAGTGCAAGCAGGTGATTGTGTCATCTTGGCCTCCCAAAAGTTGAGCACCCCAAATCACAACAGTTTCATTTCACGCCACATGTAGCCATCTACACTAATGACTAATATCAATGACACATGCACTGGATCGCAGTGAAACATGCAGTAGATTTGGCAAATGTTAAAAAAGTCCATTATACCGGAGCACCTACAGAATATCTCCACCATTGGAATATTTGGACCCTTTAGCCTGTTTAGAAGTTAATTTATTCAAGGATCTCATCTAATTTCTTGAAAGATATTGGAAAGAAATATGGAAAACCTACCCTTTGTAATATATAATATGTCTGTAATATGTTACACTCAAGGAGTGTACACGATTTAGCAAGAAAGTTAACATTCTGTGGAAGCTGGGAGCCATTTTACCATTCGACGTGGTGAAATCCACTCCTGGTATGTTTGTAAAGACAGGATATGACAGTATTGTATTAGAAATACAGAAAGAAAAACAGAAATTTTGAGTGAAAAATACTGGGTTGTTTTATAGCTTATGACCAGCTCAGGGACTGTCTGTTGTGCAGTACCGAGAAATAAGAAATGTATTTTAATGAAAATAAAGAACACAATCTGAACTGATCTGTAATATCCGGTCTGCTGCAGCTCATCGATTGCTATCAGCAGCAGCTGCTGCGTCTTCGCTGGCGAGGAGGAAGGAAAAAAGTTCTACCAGGCTTCCAGTCTGTTCTTGTGATTTTTCCAAAAGGAAAAAAACAGCTTGAGAGTAAAAGAGGCAGAAATAAACAGCCTGTTCAGTACTGTCCCAGTGTCATGCACCATTCTTGCTCTGCTCAATTATAGTTGTGTGACAACAATTGGATACTTTCCGCCATTTTGTGGACTAAAAGCCATCACTCAGATTTAGCAAGTCACCCTCTTAACCTGTTGTAGAAACAGACATTCATGGCCCCTAAAATGACACTGAGAAGCATTTTCACCAGAATGTTAGTGTTACGGCTGTCGAAACCACTTCCAAATTGCTCTGAGACCCAGGCAGAAGAGAAACGCTGGCCCAAGCGAGTGATGACTCTCTCAGTGTTGTGTAACCGAACACTGGATCTATTTAAAGAGTCTATCTGTCATGTTATTTCCATCAGTAAAAGACAGTGCTGCAAAGCCAGCCTGTTTTGAGAGGGATGCAGTAACTGCACAATTACCAAAAGCTGCCACCAGATGGGGTGATTCACAAATGCAAATAAAAAAAGAGGGCTAGTGAAGCCTTAATAAATGGGGAGTCATTGTCCAAGGATGTAGTGTGCAAAAAGGAGCAGATCATCAAGAAAACAGTGTTATATGCATTATAAGTGTTATTTTTCTGAACCTACAGAATACTGAGCACATATGCTGAAATGGTTCTCAGCCAGAAATTTGATTTGTTATTTTCGGTGTCAGTTGTTGTCTCGCCTGCAAAAAGGTGTGAAATAAATAACCTTCTAGAATCCTGCAAACTCGGCTTCGTTGCATCTTAGTATGCTCAGTGTGGATGCTGCGAAGGCAGCGGTCCCCGACTATCTCAGAGATGAGATGCCCCTTGTATCAAAGCCTCCGCTTCTGTGATGGAAAAAATTGCCACAAAAGAGCCTTTTCATTCAGCCGGTTAATTTAGAAGCGCCCGTGTAAGGGGTTGTCAAGGCAACCGATGGATGGCTACGAAGCCCTGCGCCTCAGCCAGCGGGCGATGATGTGGCCACGGAGCGGCGCGTGGGGAGAGCCGAGCCGACGGCGCTCGTCAGCACCCGGCATCGCCGGTACCGCCGCTGCCGAGCGCCGAGCCAGAGCCAGAGCAAGCTACTCATCGCCTCCGCGTTTGTGAAAAGGAAGCTCAAATATCGGCCTCCGACTCGGGGAACTCCACCACAGGGACCACCCTGCCCCAGGGGCATGAGGGCACCTGGAATCAGACACATTGCTCTGCTCCAGGCTCTTTAAACTTCAGGCTTCTTTAAAAGACTTGACCTTGGCCACGAGCTCCGCTAGCTGTCCTTCATGGGTCACCGGAAGAACATGGGGAAACAGCCCCTGTCGCCAACAGGAGCCAGAGACCAGTGAAGAGAGGGAAGAGGACCTTTCTCCTGACCTCTGACCTTTCTCCTGACCTCTGACTGATCGAGCCTTTTAGACCCGGAAATTAACGACACGACGAGAGACCGATTACAAGTGCTGGCACCACGATGGCAGACAAGATTAAATAAACACTACGACTCTTGCCCCCCCAAGAAACAGGATCCTCGTGTGGGGTATTCTGTCTGTCTCTTAGGATTCTAGGTTTTGGATGGTTTTCTTACCCAGCATTAAACAGCACAGGCTTTTAAATGACACGAGGGGTTTTGCGAAAACAGGAAACAATTTCGGCCCCACAAGCTGGCTGTTTTTTCTGTATCTCTTCCCTGTTCTGCCTCACCCCCTCTCTCCCTCGCTCTGCTCCTGCCGGGTCCCGAGCCCGGCCTCGGGCACCGCAGCGTCGTTTTACACGAAAGCCTCTGACCCAGAGCAGGCTGGGTTTCTACAGCAGTCGCCTCTCCCCGAGCGTGGGGAGATGGCTGCAGGGCTCTCTTCCCTGCGAACACCGGGGGCCTGCGAGCAGCATGAGGCCGCCCCTGTCTGACATGTGCTAGAACACA